TACTTCCTGTCCACTTCCACTGTGGATCATGCCTACTTCCTGTCCACTTCCACTGTGGATCATGCCTACTTCCTGTCATTGTCCACTTTGGATCATGCCTACCTCCTATCTTCCTGAAGAATGTGGGGAGGTGTAACTATAGGGTTAATTTTTTTGTCAGCATAAGTAGTGATTTCTCTTTGTGATTGATTAGGTGACCACATCAGCCCTTTTTTATGCTGAATCACTGAGTTAATTTAATAGAAGGAAAGCATGTTTTCCCGGCATAAAACAGTGATCTGGCTGAACAATCACAAAAATCTGCCAAAACAATAATTTACAGACATGAAATGTCTGTAAATTACTTTAAGTCTAGAAAGTGTAGATTAAGTGTGTCTGAAATGTTTTAAGTATTTTAAACGGGCAAGCAGAGGAGGAACGCAAAGAAAGTGGGTCTAAATTTTCCAAGGATGATGAAAATAAAAATTGGTTTAAGATAATCTGCAAATTAAGCCGTATGAATACAAACATTCAAAGACACTGAGGAGACTTTTGTTAGTAAATGAAGTTCTCCTGATTTTAGCTTAGCAGCTCTTTACAGAAACAACACAAAACAATGTCAATAAAAAAGATGTTTTTTCCAGATCGGATAATGCCTCCGACTTTCACTAAGTCCTTGAAAAGAGTTGATGGCAACATTGGTAATGACGTATCGATGGACTGCAAGGTGTCTGGGTCCCAGCCGATGACCATTGTTTGGTTCAAAGATGACCAGCAAATAGAGCCAGGGGCCAAATTTCAACCCGAGTTCAAAGAAAGCTCTGCTACACTGAGAGTCAGTCGGCTGGAAAAGGCCGACTCTGGAGTTTACAAATGCCGAGCCACCAACTCAGCCGGCTTTAAAGAGACTAGTGGCACACTCTACGTCAAAGGTTATGAGTCATTCTCTCAATTTGCTTTTACTTTTGATGTGTGATGTTTGAGGGACTTATGTCGGCACCTTTTTTGTTGCTGGGCTCCAGAGCCCCCAGTGTTCACAGAGAAACCAGACAACCAGGATGTTATACCAGGAGCCAAGGTTTCCTTTAGAGCGGCCTTCACTGGAACTGCTCCTTTGGCTGTGAAATGGTTCAAAGAGGAGAAGGAGGTTGTAACTGGAGGAATTTATTTCATAAAGAAAGACGCTTCTTCCAGCTCTCTGGAACTGCATTCAGTGAAGCCCACTGATTCTTCTAAATATACCTGCCAAGTGTCCAACGATGCTGGGAAAGTGGATTGCTCTGCAGTCCTCTTCGTGAAAGGTGTCCGTCCTTAACACACATGTAGTAAAAACCCTGGTATTTATGTAACGCTAACATGTCGTCTGTCCCGTCCTAAATTCTAACCTCTTCTTTCAGAACCTCCCGTGTTTGTACGGAAGCTTGATGCAACCAAGCTGGTTACCAGTGGTGACTCCACCAGGTTGGAGTGCAGAGTGTCAGGTAGCCCTGTCATCAGTTTCAAATGGTTGAAGGATGAGATGGAGATCGGCTCTGGTCCTAAATACATGATCAGTGAGACTGATGTAGAGGCAACTCTTGAAATATTAAACTGTGCAGTTGAGGACAGTGGAGATTATGTCTGTGTGGCGTCAAGTGAAGCAGGCAGTGACCGCTGCAGCAGTACAGTTTCTGTCAAAGGTTGGTATATTTACAGGAGGCACTCCTGAATTTCTATGGTTATATGTCCTTTTTGTAAAATATAGTCTATTTAGAAAGCCTACAGGAAAGATTTACAGAAAAACTTTGCTAATGACTATCCAGTCTTCACCTCACTGATATACACCAATACTGTCTTCCAGAACCACCAGTGTTTGTTCGTAGCTTGGAGCCTAAAAATGTGGTGAAAGGTTCTGAGATGGTACTGGAGGGCCAAGTCTCTGGTTCTGCTCCATTCACTGTGGCGTTTTATAAAAACTCTAAAGCGATCAGAAACGACAAAAGACACAGAATCACAGTTAAAGACGACCTGGTGGCCCTGCAGGTGCAGTTGGTTGAGGCGGGAGATGTTGGTTTGTACCAGTGCACAGTTGAGAATGAAGTGGGGAAATCAACCTGTGAATGTAAAGTGACACTCAAAGGTTGGTCTGATGAAGCTGTGTTTTATCCTTCCAGTTAAAAACTTTATCAGTTGTTTACCAACTATAAATGCTTACAAATGACTAATGACACCATTTACTTGTAGAACCACCATCTTTTGTAAAAAAGCTTGAGAACCTGAGTTCGTTGGTTGGCTGCGATGTTTCTCTTCAGTGCACACTGAAGGGTACTGAGCCAATTGCAGTGTCCTGGCTGAAAGACAACCATGAGCTAAAAGCAATGGAAAATGTTCACGTTTCATATGAGAACCAGACGGCGCTGTTGCAGATCAGCGGCTTGCAGAGCCAAAATGGAGGGAAATACTCATGTCAGGCACAGAATCAGGCTGGCAGCCAGACTTGCTCAGCTGTGTTGACAGTCAAAGGTTGGTTAAACGTTTTTAAACTCTGCCAGCTTTAAGTCATTCCTATATTTCATCAAGACGTATACATTAAATTAAAAATTATTTAATTGAAGCAGGGTGCAACAATAAGCACAATCCACTACAAATATCACCTCAAAGCAATTTAAAAGGCATTTAGGGGCGTGCAGGTAGACAGTGGACAGTGCACACAACCCATGTACATGCCTTACTGCTTGATGTGGGCAAGTGGGGTTCGAATCCGGCCTGTGGTCCTTTCCCCCATGTCTCTCCCCCTCCCTCGTGCCCCCTTTCCTGTCAGCATACTGTCGAAAAAATTATCAACTAGTGCCGTAAAAACTCCAATAAAAAAAAAAGGCATTTAGGCAGAATTTGTATCTAGCTATACAAATCTAATTTAGTCCAAGTTAATATGAGTCATTATAGTTTTTTACCTAATTACTATATGTAACTGTTTGTCAAAGTGCAGTGTTTAGGTAATGGCTTAAAGGTATAGTGGATGATTTTTACAGTAATGTTACAGTAAGTAAGCCCAAGTCACTTTCTGAATAACTGAAAAGCCCACCCTACCTAATTTCTGCTCCTGACTGAGATCACCTATCAAATGTCTAAGCATGTTTTTACGGTCTGTCTTCACCGTTTGAAGACAGTAAAAGTAGCCCAAGAAGATTTACATTAAGCTATGTCAGATTTGCCACTAATTCACCACTGAAACCTAATCAGAAGCGTAAGCACTAGCAGTGCACATGTTCAGCAGAAGGAAACTAGCAAACTAGTAACAAGAAATGAGCACATTCAACAGTGTCAGGAGAGCAAATCACACATACTGGTAAGTGGGACAAGTAGTAGATATCATGAGCCCCCAGAAATATAAACCAAAAGAAGATGGTCCACTATACCTTTAAGAGCTATAAATTAGGTCAACCAAGAGCACCCTATCTTTCCCTCGGGGCTATTTCCTTTGAATTTTCTTACATGTATCAAGAAGCCATTTCCATTTAGAAGGTAGAGGACGTGGTAGCAACCATCAACCACTAATCATTGTAAAAAAAAAACAGAAATAGAAAAAAAAAACTAGGTAGACCCATACCTTCAGGAAATAGGACCAATTTGGGCTTGGACAGATATGAATGACTTTACAAGAAAACCAGAAACAAATATATTTTTGAATTGTTTATTTTATACATCATTGTTGATAGTTTGGCTGACATTCTCCTTGGTATCCCAGAACCAGCTAAGATCACAGAGGAGGCCAAGTCCATCAGTGTGACTCAGGGGGATCCAGCCACAATGGAGGTCAGATTCTCCGGCACAAAAACCCTTAAGGCCAGATGGCTAAGAGCAGGGAAGGAGCTTGCCTCAGGACAGAGGTTTAAAATACAAAGCACAGACACAAGCTCTGTGCTCAAGATTCTCAAAACTGAGAAAAGTGACATAGGGGAATTTACCTTTGAGATTTCTAATGATGTCGGACAAAGCTCTTGTGAGGCCACGCTCACAGTTCTGGGTCAGTGCTTGATTTGTTAGGTTCAATTCTAAGGGCATATTTCTTTTATTTAAACTGATTTGCAGCTCTAACCCCTTTTTTCTGTAACTCATCTTAGATCAAATAATTCCTCCATCTTTCACGAGGAAACTGAAGCAGACAGAAGGAATTAAAGGATCATTCGCTCATCTGGAATGCCTTGTCTCAGGCTCCCTGCCAATTACCATCCAATGGTTTAAAGATGAAAAGGAGATTCAGGTCGACGAGAAAAATAAATGTACATTCTTTGAGAATGTTGCTTGCCTAGAAGTCTTGGATCTTCACCTTAAAGATGGTGGGGGTTACACCTGCATTGCCAAAAACAAAGCAGGGACAGTCCAGTGCTCTGCAATCTTACTTGTGAAAGGTCTGAACTGTTGTATAGGTTTTTTACTAACTAGCTAGATTTTTCTGGCAGGTCTTTACAAGCAGCGGTTTGCCTCTCTCTTTCAGAACCACCATGCATTCTTGAAAAGCCTGAATCCATGAATGTTTTACCTGGATCTAAGGTCCAGTTCAATGTACTGCTCTCTGGCACACCACCCTTGACAATCAAATGGTTTAAAAACAAGAAAGAGATTTTATCAAGTGCAAACTGCTCTGTGATGAAAGACAACACATCCACCTCACTGGAGCTTTTCTTTGCTAAGAGCTCAGATTCAGGAGATTATGTATGTGAAATTCAGAATGATGTGGGCTCTACCTCCTGCCAAGCAACGCTTTTTGTCAAAGGTTATCTGTTTTTATTTTCTATATGAATCTCTGTTATAAATAACATCATATTACCTTATTCAACATTCATGGTCTGAACCAATGTTTCTCAATTTCTGTGAACAATTTTCACCTCAGTTAGTATTACATTGCGATCCTCATCCTGAATGTTTCCCCAGAATAATTATTCCACTTCTCATTTGGCTTTTTATTCTAATTCCCAGAGCCACCAAAGTTTACCCAGACCCCGGCCCGGGTGTCTGTAGTGCGTCCTGGTCAAAACAAAATGTTTGAGTGCCAGGTGACAGGCACACCTGAGATAGACATCTACTGGTTTAAGGAGGGCTCTGAGATCAGTGCCGGTGATCGCTACAAGATGGCATTTGTAAATTCTGTGGCCACTCTGGAGGTCTGTGCAGCTGAAATCAAAGACGGAGGCCTTTACTACTGTGAGGCTCGCAATGAGGCTGGTAGTGAGAGCTGCAGCATGGAGCTCAAAGTCAAAGGTTTGTTGGGCTGGAGTTCCAAGGATTCCTACCCTTGGAAGTTACCTTAAAGCTTAAATTGTCACAGATTCTAGGGGAGTATGTTTCTTATCAAGAAAGAATAAGCAAAAATCTCCTGGAAACGAATCGTCCTAATGAATCTGTGACAAAACAACTGTTCATCATGTATCATTTATTAGATAGTGACCTCTTTAAGAAAAGTTGAAGGTTTGTCTTCTCTCCTCTCCTCTCAGAACCACCATCTTTTATCAAAGACCTTTCTCTGGTTGATGTTGTGAAGGGTTCCACAGCTTGTTTTGAGTGTCAGGTTGCTGGAACAGGTCCCTTTGATATAACCTGGCACAAAGATGGAAAAGAGATCAAGCCCAGTGCCAAACATGGCTTCTCCCAGATGAATGACACCTTAACTCTTGAGATTCACAGATGTGATGGTGTAGATGTTGGTGAATATCAGTGTACTGTAGCTAACGAGGTGGGGAGCTGTACTTGTAAGACAACTCTCAGCCTCAAAGGTTGGTTTCTGTAAATTCAAAAAGTCTTGTATCTTTAGTTTTTGAGCTAAAAGCAGCTAACTTAACTATGTTTTTCCCCAAATAGTGCCCCCAACATTTACCAGGAGAATTGAGGACAGTGTTACTGTTCTTGGTAAAGGGGCAGAGTTTCAGTGTGTTGTGGTGGGTTCTCCAACTCTTTCTGTCCAATGGCAGAAAGATGACAGCTGGATTTTGGAGGATCCAAACATTGAGAAATCATTTGAAAATAACATAGCGACTCTAAAGATTGCTACCTGCGAAGCAACTCAGGCAGGCAGGTACACCTGTCAGGTGGTTAACGAGGCTGGGCAAGATAAATGCTTCGCTACACTCACAGTGCAAGGTAACCTACTCAACCAATGAGCCTAATTCCTTATTTTTTATACTTACATACCAACTTATTATGTATAACTTGGTAGTACCCCAAGTGTTCCAAAGGGTTGGGATCCAAGACCAGATAGATAGATAGATAGATAGATAGATAGATAGATAGATAGATAGATAGATAGATAGATAGATAGATAGATGTACTTTATTTATCCCAAGCTGGGAAATTGCAGTGTAGCAGCAGCTTTACACATAGTGACAGTCACAACACAATAAGATAAGAAAAAACTTATATTGTCTTGGAATTGTCTTGGTCTTGATTTCTAAAGGTCTTGGCCTTGTCTTGGTCTTGGTACTCCTTGGTCTTGGTTGGTGTGGTCTTGACTACATCACTGCACCCCACTATTCAAACTTCTTAGCTGCAACAGAGGTTAATCAGATGCTTCTATCACCCATTTGCCATAAGGTTTTACACATTGTATATGAACATGATAACCATATTCTTTAAATCAGCAGTTTCATTTTTCTTATCTCATGAAAAAGATAGGAAGGTTGTCAATGGAGCATGTTGTAAGCATTGCAAATAAAATGGGTGGGCCTGCCTAGAACCAGAAAACATGCCATGTATGAAATCAATTACATCCCTTTTTCATCCTATGTTTGAACTTCAGCAAGTCGTCTTAACTACTGCTTAATCCACCTAGTCAAGTCAGCATGGGAGAGAACTGGTGTGCCTAATAAAGTGGCCAGTAAATGATCATCAAAGCGAGGAAATTCTTTGACCTTGAATTTGCTTTGCGTTGTAGAACCCCCTCAGATCTTAGAAAAACCTGAGGAGATCAAGGTAACTGTGGGAGATCCAGTCAGTCTGGACTGCAAAGTGAAAGGCTCGCCTGAGCTCAAAGTGAAGTGGATGAAAGATGGAAAGGAACTTCAGTCCATCAGGCAGCACAAACTGATTTTTGAGAACAACATCAGCAGCCTGAAAATTCAGGCTGCTCAAACAGCAGATGAAGGAGAGTACATGTTTGAGGTGTCAAACCACATAAGCAGCTGTTCTTGCAAAGTTAAAGTGGTTGTTTCAGGTTGGTATGACCATCCTGATAAAACTCTGTCATTTACACCAATGTGAAATCATATTGATCTCATAAATCCTTTCTTGGCAACAGAGCAAGTAATTCCTCCAAGCTTCATCAAACCACTGGTAGACATGCAGGAGATTCTGGGCTCCTTTGTTCAGATTTGCTGTAAAATATCTGGTTCCCTCCCAATCTCTGTGGAGTGGCAGAAAGATGGGAGTAAAGTCTCCAGTGGTGTCAAACACAAACTGATTCAGCAGGACAACTCTGTGTCTGTGGAGATTGAACAGCTTGAGAGATCTGATGCTGGATTGTATTCATGCAAACTGACCAATGCAGCTGGGAGCTGTGAATGTAGTGGATCCCTTAGGGTCAAAGGTCAGTTTGGCTGGTAGTAATGTCCTAAGACAACAAAGGTGAGTGATTACTTTAACCTAGTTTGCTATGTTGCCTTCAGAGCCTCCAAGCTTTGTGGTGCTGCCCGAGTCACAGGCGGCTCTACCCAATGCCATGGTCCGATTCAAAAGCACATTCACGGGTACGCCGCCCTTTGCGGTCAAATGGTTCAAGGATGATACGGAGCTCATGACCGGTCCAACGTGTTTCATGGGTGTGGATGACATGTCCTGCTTCTTGGAGCTCTACTCAGTGGCCATCACTCAGAGTGGAGTTTACTCCTGCCAAGTCAGCAACGATGCTGGTTCTGTACGCTGTAGTGCAGATTTGACGGTCAAAGGTTGGACCACATTTTCTGAATCAATCCATCTAATGCCACTGCTCAACTTCTTGCTCCTCCTTTCTGTAGCTCCTATATAGTTAATCGAAACATGTTGTGTTGCAAGCTCATGATTGTCAGCTCCTGTCTTCTGTTACTGTCTGTTTTGTTTGCTTCCTGCTGCTTATTGTCTGTGTTTTGGACTTCCAGAACCACCTGAGTTTGTGCTGAAACTTCCCGCCACTAAGTTTGTAAAGCGGGGTGAGCCACTCCACCTGGAGTGTAAAGTCCGTGGCTCCTCCCCTCTGAAAACGACCTGGTACAAACACGACACCAAAGTCTCGGACGGGGGCAACTACAGGATGTCATTTGTTGACTCGGTAGCGGTCCTGGAGGTGGTGTCCTGCAGTTTTGATGATGACGGAGTTTACACCTGCGAAGCGCAGAACGATGCGGGCATCGTGAGCTGCAGCACCACGCTTTCTGTTAAAGGTCAGGCTTCTAACATAGCTCTAATATCTTGGTGCTCACGCCTAAAGCTGATGTCTGTAACAATCTACCTGATCTCTGTCCTAAATCGGAGCAATCACCATCAGAAGAGCTCATTTTAATCATTCATCAGATTGACTTAACATCTGTCTTTTGCTCAAATTAAACATTAATGTTGACCTCTTTAACCAACATGATTAATGAAATTAAATCCTAACATATTTTCTCAATAACCTTGATATCTCACTCATACTTAATAACCTGCTCACTAAAACCTACTTCCTAAACTTTCAAACTGATCCTTTTTCCCATTTTACTAAATAATAACTTGTAGAAATTCTTCCAGCTCTTTCTAACCACATAATCTAGACCGTTATCAAGTCAAAACTGATCTCCAATGACAAATGCACCATCTGAACCATCGAATAGATTAACAGATTTTATAAAGAATCTAAATTCATACAAAATGGCCTTTAGTTTTAATTACAACAGATTATTCTTTCTTTAGTTTACTTAGAGAAATCTCAACCCCCTTTCCTGTCACTCACATTTCAATTATCAGTCCGCCCATTATCTATAATTGCTTATCCTTGCAGGGATAAGCAGCACTGATTCAATTCAATTCAGTTTATTTATATAGCGCCAAATTCACAACACATGTCATCTCAAGGCACTTTACAGTTCAACCAGATCATATAGTCAAATTGATACAAAATTTTCTAATCTAAGGAAAACCAGTTGATTGCATTGACTCAAATACAATCCCTCACTTCTGGTCCCCACTGATGGGACCAGAAGTGCCCAGTCCACGACAGGACAACCCAAAGACAATTTATTAAGTCTTCTTTCAGAAGCAGTTTCAACATGCAGTGTAACACTACCCTAACCTGACTCCGCCAGATAGATTTGCTCAGCATATCCATCTGGAAACCTGCCGTTGAAGTAATTTTGGGAAGGGGCGAAAATACTGGTTAGCTGATTGGCCTATGTTGGTGATAGACGGGCCAAATAAAGCAATCAGATCAACGAAGCATATGACGTACTAACAGAGCGACAAGAGGAGCCAATTGATAGATCAAACTCTTGCCGAAACCAGTCGGGAGAAGAGCAAAAACAGCTTTTTGTCTGAGAAAAGCCTCCAGAGCAGTGTTTTGCTCTTCTTTCAGTGAAGAAATACTCTGTAATTCCGATAAAACTTGCTCGATAGCCACGCTAACGCTAGTTTCATCGGCTGAAGCCGCCATGTTCTTTAGACTGAACTGTCGTGCTTCTCGTAGCGTCACACCTCAACCCGCCTCAAAGCCAACGCTGATTGGACGTTCGTTTGGTGAACGGCTCCAAATTTTCTTTAACGGAGAGTCTCCAGACTGATCTGCGAGTGAAACCTTGAAAGCTCGCGAGATCAGGATGGTCTGACGAGGCTAACGCTACCCCATTTTAATTGGTACTTAGTAAGCTGACATTAATAACACAACCTAGAAGTTGCATTACATAACATTGTGATCTATAGTGGATTCAAAAATTCACCTTAATCAATCCATACTCACAATTTTACCTAACATTTTATTTCTAGTTGAGAAACATCACATATTTCATCTAATCAGACAGCAGTTTTTCCTTCCACTAACCGCACTCTTTTATGAGCCTTCAGTTGCATCTCCCCTTTATTAAAATACACTTTAAATGCATTATTCCACTTTAATGTCCAGCCTGTTCTTTTTTTAGGAGCTGCTGTTTATGAACGAGTCTTAAAGAAATGAAGATTTCACATGTTTTTCCAACAGTCTGACCTTATTTAGGCCATAGCATAGCCATAGCCCTGACTCCTACATAACATGGCTACATTTAGTTTTCTTTAACTTTATTTTATAAAGGTGTATTTCAGTGAATCTCAGAATCATTCTAATTTATTTTATTAATTCACTTTATGTATAACTCATATAGAATCATTACAGACAGATTTATTTTTAGTGTTTATTTCTGTATTAATTATTAGAGCCAACAAAGTCCTAGAAATCTGTTTCTCTGAAAATCCAATTGTTACACAAGAATGATAGAGACAATGAGACGGAATCAAGAAGGGAAGGATGCACAGTATCCCAAAGAGATCACCAACTTTGAACAGAAATTATATTTTTTGGGGAAGTCAGGGCTCCTTAATCCCCTCAGCGGTGCCAAGGCAGTCATTCAAACAAAAGAAGCACCAACCAAGTTTTAAAAGTACTTTGAAACTAAATTTTGGTTTCAATTAGCTTCAATCCATGATAACATTTTGCAGAAATACTGCAACATTTTGCTCAATTTGTCAAGAATTAATGTAACGAAGAGCTTCAAATTTTGTTTAAAAAGATACTGATCTATAAAACCATTTAGATGTTATTAGAATAATCAAAATGCACCATTTAAAACCAAAAACCTCAGTCTTGTTAAAAAAATGACACAAAAAATTGGAACTAAAATGTGTTAAAAGTTGTTTTTATACTCTTCTAAGCCAACAGATCACCATAATGATGACAATAACATTAAAAGGCAGGAAATTACAGTAAATATGAGGAGATATTTACCTGAATTCTACCTCCAGATAGACACAACTTTCCTTAAATGTTTAATATTAAATGAACATAATTAGCTTATAGGCTGCAGAATATCAGTAATAAACAAAAGTTACATTATTAAAAAGACGAATAAAGACTGTTTAGCTCAAACTAAACTAAACTTATAACTAAGTTCAATTATCCCTAAAGAGTTTAAGAGTTCAAATACACAACTTTTATCTTGAAAACCTGTGTGAGGAAGTAATTTTCTTTATTTAGAGGATGGTAAAGTACAACACATCTTCATTATTAAGTTTTTCTGGAAAAGGTGCAGGAAATTGATCAACCATTTGGATTTGGTGAAATATGCATTCAGATTTTATATAGAATAATAACCATTATTTCAATTGAATTTAGTTTCTAACCTCTGCAGAAACACAGCTGCTGCATATTGACTGTTGCAGCCAGTGTGGTTTGATCCCTGCAGCTGGTTACCTCCACAAAAATAGATCTTAATTATATAAAAAGCGAAAAAATAAATATATATAATAAAAAAATATAAATATATTATAAAGTAGATTTTAATTATAATTGCCAGTTTCAGCTAAATGTCTGTTAGACTTTTGAAACTTAAGTTAAATCATTCTAAACCCAGATGAAACACCAGAGTTGGTTGTTACAGCTGTCAGCTGAGGTTCCGGCTCATGCCTCTGTAACGGTCTCCTGATCTTCTCATAGACCCCCCCGCATTTGTCAAAGTTCCCTCACCTGTTGAGGGGCTGAAGGGGAAGGATCTGAGCTTATACTGCGAGATGAGTGGCTCGGTTCCGCTCCAGATCGCCTGGTTGAAAGACAGGAAGCCTCTGATGGAAAGCAGGAAGTATAAGATGGTGAGCGAGGGCAGCTCAGCCACGCTGCATGTCATTGGGATAGAGCCTTCAGACGCCGGCGAGTATGAGTGCAAAGTCTCAAACAGTGTAGGAAGTGACTCCTGCCACACGGCGGTTAAACTCAGAGGTCAGTAGAACCCAGATGGACCTTCAGGTTCCCTCACCCCCCCACCCACTTTCTCACCCTGCCTTCTGCGCTGTTTCTGTCCTCCCCTCAGAGCCGCCATCATTTGTGGAGAAACTGTCAAACATGACGGTGATGCTGGGCGAGGAGGTGACCCTTATGGCCACTGTTAAAGGCTCTGAACCCATTACTGTGTCCTGGGTTCAGGACAAGGATCACATTCTCCGCGACAGCGACAACCGGAAAATCACCTTTGAGAACAACCGGGTCGCACTTACCGTGTTTAAGGCCGATGCAGCCGTGGCGGGCAGATACACCTGCACACTCAGAAATGATGCTGGAAGTGTGGATTGTTTCGCTAACTTAACTGTCCTAGGTTTGTAAACGTATAATTCTCTCCTCCTCTGTCAGTTTTGTCCTCCAAGCTAACGTCTGCTGCAGGTTTGACTAAAAGCGTTTTTCTGACCCCTCTCTGCCGCTCCCAGAACCGGCTAAGATCGTTGATAAACCCGAAACCCTGAGCGTGACGGCGGGCAACATGGCAGCCCTGGAGGTCAAAGTGTGCGGGACGCCAGAGCTGGTCCCCAAGTGGTTCAAAGACGGGATGGAGCTGGCCACCGGCAGGAAGTACAAGATCTCCTTCTCCCAGATGATCTCCAGTCTGAACGTGCTCTCCACAGAGAAGCTGGACTCTGGAGAGTACACCTTCCAGGTCATGAACCAAGTGGGGAAAGATCTTAGTAAAATCAACCTCACCGTTTTAGGTAGGTGCCGTCTTTTTTCCTGACTCTAGATTTATGCTTTCTTTGGTTTGCAAAATAAGATAATGTGTTTTTTTTATTTTGATACATGTTTATTTGGAAAATGTGAAAATAAAAGTTGCTGATTCACCGGTTCTTTTCCAAATATTAGAATATCATGAAATAAGTCGACTTATTTCAGTAATTCAAGTCAGAAAGAGAAACTATCATGGATTTCTTACCCACAGAATGATGAATGTTGTCCCAATATATGATTTTATCCTGTTTTGATCAATAGATCTTGAGGTCTTCTAGAAGTTTATCCATTATTAGGACCAATTACTGAAGAATACTTTATTTTACTTTGCTTATAAAGCTTAACTCTATGAGCCACTCAGGCAGAAAGAGCTGGATTTTAGAGAACCCCCTCCCTGCAGAAGATGATAAAGCTCCATAGAACAGTGACTCAGAGGTTGGCATGCTGTAGACCAGTGGTTCTCAAAGTAGGGAGTTGCCCCCTAGGAGGGGTGCAGTGTAATTGCGGAAAAGGAAGGGTAAAAATAAACTAAACAAATAATCCTTTTTTTAAAAAGATGTAATTATGCCAACATTAAATGATAATTGCTGTCATTTTGGGCGATGTGGCTGAAAAATGTGCAGCAGGGCATGTGAACGAGCGGAGCGCCGCTCCCCGCTCAGGAAGATGTTCGCTCATTCGTTTCACCGCTCAAAGTTGCGCCAGGACGCTCCACTAGAAATCTGCTCCATGCTCACCTTCATTTTCCCGCCGTTCCTGCAAAATCGCTCCGCGCTCGCTTACATTTTCAGGGGCATTTTCTGACGTTTTTCCCTCATGTAATTATGCCAGGGCCCTGGGACATGTGGAGGTTGATTAAATGATGTTGATTAAATGATGACTAAATGACCGATACATGTGTATCAATTATTTACTTTGCTGTTAAATTATCGCACTGTTTTACTTTGCTGTTAAATTATCGCACTGTTTCCCAGCTGTGAACGTAACACCTCACTCGGTAGCGAGGATTTCGCTCCGCTCTAGTTCCCTCTGGCCTTTAAATTGAAAGCCGCTCTGCACTCCGCCATATTTCTTCCGCTCCGCTCACATGCTCTGATATATAGCAATGTTAGCCTTACATATCAGTCAATATCGATAGTTATTTATTAGTGTTTTAAAATAAAGATCACATTTAAATAGAGAATTTAATTAGTAGCTCCAAGTCTATTTAAACTCTACCTTTTAAAAATAGAACAGCTTGACTACCAGCCTGGCTCAGTTTAGCTGTGAGAAGTTCCTTTGATCTGCCTACATCTCCCAGAATGCCATTGGTTTCTGGATCAGTGGAGTTTTTTATCATTTCCTCTAGTGTAGTTTGTAGTCATGATGATCAATATAAAACACGATATATATCGTGACTCATGGCCTAACCCTAATTACTATTAATACAAATAAATAAAGCAATTTTAGTCTTCATCTAAACCACAACAAAATTATTATTTAAAGATTTAGAAGCAAAATAAACAACCGTTGAATCCAAAATTCTGAAAATCCCAGACAAACCTCTGCTCCTAGTTATTAAAACCCAAACTCAGGTTATTACACCATAATAATATCAGATAAAATGAAGAAAATGACCTTATTTGTATAAGAATGTTAAATTATGCCCAAGTTCTGTCCTACAACACCACAGGGAGGTCTGTGATTGGAGTGTGGTCAAGCGGAAAGCCTTTAGCGTCCTCTAGGACAGAGTGCTGGTGAGGATTCTAAGTCATGCAGGTCGTAATTATTCCAAAAAAGTAAAAAAAAAAAAACTTTGTTTCCAAGTTTTAAGACGTTTTACTTCCCATCCAGGAAGCCTTCCTGGATTGGAATTGAAATGTCTTCAAAGTTGGAAACAAAGTCTACTGGATTGTTTTTTTTAACCTTTTTTAGCACAAAACTGCCACTTATAAATTTCATTATCTCAAGTGAACTATTTATTTTACTGTATAATAAAACACAGCATTGCTATCGATCTGTTCATGGTTCAATCTTTGGATTTTCGTTTCATGAAGAAGATATAAAAAAAAAAATAAACAGCTGGTTATTTTAACACTTTTACTTTTGAAATTAAATTGCAGAAACTAAAATAGAAAAATATAAAGTGCTGCCTTTTTATTAGTTTATTAGATTATTCTTTCTTTTGATTATTCTTTTGATGATTAATTTTTTTTATATAAACATAGTATAAAAGGGCTTAGTCTTTTATTTCTAAATGCACAAGTTTAATCTAGAATACAAAGCGTATCTTGTTTCTTGCGTCATCAAGGGATGAGTGAAATTTAAAAACATTTTCTATTTTAGTTCAGAAAATATTAAATTACTTTAAAGTATAAATAATTATCTGAGAACAAATGTGATATTTTATTTCACATGAGCAGGAAATGTAACAGGCTGCCATTCGACCCAGAATGAAATGCCTTTAAATCCTCACTGAGTTTGAGATTTTTGACACTAAAAATAGAGCCTGTCATACATAGAAACCTCAGAACAGAGATCCAAGTTGCTGGAGAATAAATATGTTCTATTTTACATATACTGTATATGTTCTATATGTTTACAATGAAAGTGAAATAAAAGGCTTTATTGCACTTTATCAAACCAGCAACCTGCTGTTCTTAAGGACCATCTTTTTCCTCTGACACTCATATTTTCTGCACCTGCCTAATCTGGCGCTCTTGTGAAATAAGCGATGACATCCTGTTTCAGAAAAAAAGTAGAAAAACACAAACACATTTTTGTTTCTGTTTTAAATTTGTTACATTTTTGTTAATCGAAACGCAAAAAACTTAAATCATATTCGAAATTTTCACACAGAAAAAACAAACAGGGTAATTAAATTTTAATCTTCTTATTTTACTTGGTTTATCCTTTTTAAAATAAAATAAAAATGCATTAAATTAAAGACATAATTAGTATTTTTGTGTTCTGTCAGAACTGGAATTTATGGTCTGAACTTCTGGTGCCTTATGTTTTCAAACTGCATTAAAGTATCTCATTCAGAGCATGTTGTGACTAACAGTTTACAATAAGCATCTTATCTTGGTGTTAAACTGGACAAATCCTCCTACAAAATAAACTACCTCTCTGGTTTGTAGCTGTCATTAACCTGACATCCATTTCCTGTCCTGGGCTCGGTATCTAGAGATTAGGTTGCCAGATCGCTTCTTTGAGCTCAGTGGAAAACCTTGAGAGATGCCATCATAACAGAGTAATACAGAGATGCATGATGCAGGAAACTGGAAAATGGAGGCTGCATACAGCAGCTAGCTTTCATTTTTCATTTGCCAAAAAGTGATGTTCTGCCAGAAGCTGATCAACAAACTGTCTAGCAACTACAATGTCTGCTATAGGGGCGATTATGTCCATTATTTAGCATATTAAGTTACAGGCTATTATTACCCTACATTTATAAAATATATTAGACCTCCAAACCTTTGTTATCATTACCTGAAAACATTGCTTTATATTCATTTTTCCAAACCCTACTTCATGTCAAACATTTTTTTTTTGTGTACTTAAAGAAACAAGTAGTTAGGTTTATTCTTTTATACATCATGTCCATTGTTACTTTGTTAGCCAGATGGAGAGAGTAGATGGCCTTCCTTCACATTGTGGATGTCACTGTGTGTAAGGAGGTCATCTAAATAGGACAGCCTTCTTGTCTTTTAAAGATACACAGGATATGGGCACATCTTGGAGCCGGACTGATAGAGGAGATGTATCTTTAATCTTGGGCATAGAGGCAAGATGCACACAGGTCAGGGCATGGATGGCATGTCAGTTTCTGATACGGACAGCTAAACATCCACCTGATCCAACACATAGACTCATGAGCTATAAGAAGGAGAAGATGACCTTGTTTGGGGCTCAATCTTTGCCGGATGCTCGCGGACGTGGCTTTTGAGCCCACAGCTGTGCAAGCTCCAAGCATTTTCTCTGTCCTGTAACGACCTGATCTGGAATAAACTCTGTTACTTTTTTACTCCTGTTTTTATAGTCTTTTTTTTATATGGTTTTACCCAGATTGAGTTAAGAGTAGTAAGTAACTTGCTCCCAGGAAAAGAACCGGTGGGGAAGTCTCGAGGCGAAACTGCTTTTTAGGGGACATAACTTCCTCATTCAACAAAACTTCTCCTAAACAGACGTTTTTTGATTGGCCCACTGTCACTATTGAATAAAGCAACAGCTGTACATTGATTTTGTTTTTGAATTTGACAACTGTAAAAAAAAAAAAACAGGGGATATTTATTTATTTAAATATAACATTTTAAATTCAGGTTTTAAATCATTTTTGCGACTTGTTTGAAAACAGAAGAACGAAACGTACACTGATTGTCGTTTTTTTTTTTTTTTTTATTAACTCTCACAATTGGTGATTTATCCGGTTAATTTCTACCATGATGCCCTTTCTATTGCAATGATTGTCCAACCAGAACCCCATAGAGAACCTGTGGAGTGGATGGGAGACACAAGAGCCAATATGACCTGGACAAGATTGATTGGTGGCTAAAGCAGAGCTCTTTGAGTCTGTGGAAGCTTACAGGGTCCCTGGTTCAAATCCCCCAGACTGTTGCTCAAGGCCCCTGAGCAGGGCCCAGAGATTAGATCCTGAATCCTCCCTGGCCGCGTTAAACATAGACAACAGATTTCATTCAAAAGATGTTGATTAATGTTTAATATTCCACTCCTGTATCATCAGCTCTGTATTTATAAACTGTTACCTTCCTCCTGAACAGATAAGACAGTTCCTCCGACGTTCACCAGGAAGCTGAAGGACTGTAAGATGACTGTGGGAGAAGCTGCAGATTTGGAGTGCAAAGTCTCAGGCTCCCCTCCATTCATTATTTCCTGGTACCACAATGACGAGGAGATACAGACCGGACCGAACTGCGAGCTTTCATTCAGTGACAACAGCTGCACGCTCAGAATGCCCACCCTGAAGCTGTCCGACTCCGGGGCCTACCGATGCAAAGCTGTCAACGAGGCGGGGTACAGCGAGACCTCAGCCACTTTGACAGTCAATGGTTAGTGCCTGCCTCTAATAGAAACCCTTAGACCTCAGTTTGTGTCGATTTGAGTCGCATTTCAAAGAAACGTCTAAACTGACTTTCTGTTTTTCACCTTGTTTGACGTTTTTTTTGTTCACAGAACCACCGTCCTTCGTGGTGCCACCTCAGCCGATGGAGGCCATGCCTGGCTCTAACGTTACCTTCTCTGGCATTGTGAAGGGCAGCGCCCCCCTCACCCTGAAATGGTTCAGAGGAACAAAGGAGATCCTGCAGGGGAAGGACTGCACCTTCTCCCTGAAGGACAACCAAGTGACTTTGGAGCTTCAGAACGTGAGCCCATCTCATGCCGGGGAGTACACCTGCCAGATCATCAATGATGCAGGAAAGGAGAGCTGCGCTGTCAATCTCACAGTCAAAGGTGTGTTTGTCATGAAGATCTAGTTAGAACCAGAGTTAGAGAAAATAGATCTCTAGTGGTAGATTTTTAGATAATCAAGACTGGCTTTGAAGGAGATATGAAGGTTAGCCAGAACTTAACCATGGGAATCTAGACACCAGATAAGTGGATCCATAAAAGGCTGTCCAGGTGTTTTTCCTGTGTTATCTGTAAAGTAATTGAGATGTTTTGGTTATGTCTGTCAGAACCGGCGTCCTTCTCTAAGAAACTGAAGGACGTGTCTGTTGAGAAGGGCAAACCTTTAACCCTGGAGTGCTCATACACTGGAACCCCAAAGATCACCGTAAGCTGGTTCAAAGACGGCCAGCAGATTTTTGCTTCCTACAAATACAACATCACCACCACTGAGAGCTCCTGCATCCTGGAGTGCCTCAGCACAGACGACAAGGAGGCAGCTGGGACCTACACATGCCAGGTGTCCAACGATGCAGGGAAGGACACAAGCGAGGCAGTGGTTTCCATTCTGGGTATGTTGTTCTTCAAACCTGACCGGTTAACTCCTGAAGGAGGCTGTCACTTCTCACTCTCATGTTCTATGGTGTCCACAGAGCCTCCATACTTTGTTGAACCTCTGGAGCCAATGGAGGTAACGGCAGGCGATGCAGTGTGTCTGAAGTGCCAGGTGGCGGGTACGCCTGAGATCAAAGTGTCCTGGTTCAAGGCGGACGGCAAAGTTCGGTCCAGCCCCACCTGTAGGCTAGAGTACTCGAAGGGCATGGCCTGTCTGAAGCTCAGCAAAGCCACCAAGGCTGAAATTGGGGAGTACACCTGCAAGGCAGAGAACAAGATCGGCTCTGCATCCTCTACCTGCAGACTCAATGTTCTCGGTAAGACGACACAGACTGAACGGACAGAACGATCCCTTAGAGATTCGATTGATCTTTTACCTTCAATTTCATACAAATCCTGAAATCTTCTGTTGACTCTGTTTGCTCCAGAGGCCAAAACGCCTCCATCCTTCCCCAAAAAGATTACAAGCCTGCAGGAGACAGAGGGCCAGGCGGTCCGCTTCGAATGTCGTGTTGCGGGCTCGTCACCCATCGAGGTGTCATGGCTGAAAGACGGCAAGCCACTGACGGAGGGAAGCGAGTTCTCCATGCTGTACGACGACAACACGGCCGTGCTGCAGATCGGCTGCGGAGAGATGAGGCATTCTGGGGAGTACACATGTGTGGCCACCAACAGCGTGGGCTCGGCCTCCTGCAGAGCCAAACTCACCATCCAAGGTCTGTAAGGCTTCCCTAAACGAAGCAGAGGGACTGCTTTGTAGTCTTTAATAAGAGTATTAATCTAAGTTTGATCAGACATCTTGAAAGTTTTCTTTATATGCAGGTGTTTAATTTATCTGTTGTCATGTCACCCTGATCTATTATTCATTCAAGCTGAGAAAAGCCTCCAAACTAAAGGCGTCAAGCTTCACATCTCTGGTTTGGAGCCAGTGTGTCACAAATCTCAACATGCTGCCATTTCTATCTATAGTTTACACTTTTTCTCTTCTAACAATATTCCTCAGGTTATTTCCTTTCTCAAAGGCACATGTTAATGACCCAACTATATGAATAAATTAAAATAACTATTAAACATAACAGTTTTATTCTGTTAAGCCAGAAGAAACGAATGCACTGCACTGCCTATTTCCTGTTTGGTACCTAATGACAGAGACTTTGGCCTTAGTGCCGTCCACAATGCCTGGCACACCTCGGACACTATCCCAGACACCGTGCAGGACGCTAGTTTGTAGCTCTGTGCGACGCTTTCTTGGTTTGCACCTGAAGCCAAAACATGCAGCGCCACGGCCATTCTTTGGGGAACACTCACAGGTGAACTGTGTGTCGTCCGGCGTCAGATGAGGGGTTGTAGACGGCGAACAAGCTCATCAAACCGAAACACGGGCACCCACAATCCTTGCTAGTTCTTGATTGTCCCTCTTGCGTTGTAGCGTGGAATAACATAGCGCAGACCACGCTTCAAAATTGGGCATAAATCAAAACTATCTGCATCATACCTGCGACAAGCTCACTGTGACACACTGCTGTGGGAGGACGACCAGCCCTTAATCCAGTTCATTGTAACTATAAACTTTAAAGGCACTAGAGACAGGCGGGAAATGAGATTCAGGAGTGATATGGCTGGTGCTGCCGATTACTGAAACAACCATGAGTTCCTGTATCAAAGCTGCTTGGGGCGTGCATGCAGCGTAAACTGATGTCACATCCGTACGACTGCGGGGAAAAATCAGGACCCGATTAGCATTATGCTACACACAGCCTGTTCAAGGCAATGAGAGATACAAGGGTGAGCTCGTTGGTTTTGGTTTTTAACACTTCATTTCCTATAGCTTTAAAAAAAAAACTGGTATGCATTTGTATTCTTTCAAAATTAATGCCCATAGTTCCTTCAAATCATCAAAATAGCAGCTTTTCTCAGCAGGTCTACAGATCTACACACTGAGTCTGGTCTTGGTTGTTAACATCTTAAGGTCCTTTTTAACCAGGAAGCTGAGATAAACATACATTGTTCCCACTTCTTTAGTTTTAATTTAACATTTCAGCTTAAAACATGAAAAATCTTCCAAAAGGGAGAACTTCCTTGAAGGTGCAGAGAAACACCTCTCTGGATCTCTGGCTGCTCAGCAGAGGGTGGGTGGGGGGCTTCTGGACTGCAGCGACCTAGCTGTGAGCAGAACAGACTGTGTTGAAAGAAGTCAGGGACCATGAACCTGGTGACCATCTAAAGGTTTTTCCTTGTCTTAACTTCCTGCTGCTTCTTCACGGGTCCACAGAACCCAGGTACCCGCCAGTGTTTGACAGGAAACTGTCACCGCGGGAGGCGACAGTGGGGGACAGCATCGAAATGGAGTGTCACATGACTGGCTCTGCCCCCATCAAAGTCACATGGTCCAAAGACCACAAGGATATTCGCTCTGGAGGAAACTATAAGATCAGCTGTGTGGACAACACGGCCCAGCTGACCATCCTGAAGGCGGACAAAGCCGACACAGGAAAATACTTCTGCCATGCCTCCAATGACATGGGGAAGGACTCTTGTTCCACTGACATCACTGTCAAAGGTATTTTGCTCTTTTGTCCAAAGCGCTGATACCACGGCGCTCAGGTGAGTAACCCACACTTCCCCTCTTCAACGTTTCTTCTCCTTCTTGATTTCAGAGCGTAAAAATCCACCAGTGTTCACTAAAAAGCCCTCAGAGCATATGGAGGACATGGAGGGCAAGCTGGTAAAAATCGAGGGCCGAGTCACGGGCTCACAGCCCATGTCAGTCACATGGTTCAAAGACGATGAAGAGATTAAAAGCTCTGACAAATACGACATCAGCTTTAAGAGCAACGTGGCAGTGCTGTGCATAAAGAGCAGCCAACTGACTGACAGTGGCAGGTACTCCTGTCAGGCCTCCAACGAAGCTGGGAGAGCTTCCTGTGACGTCACCGTGGGCATCCTGGGTGGGTTGGATGTTCAAAGTTCACTCAGTGTTGAATCTGCTCACAGCAGGAAAAACCAGATGATTGGCTACAGGTCTCTGCTGAGGGATTTTCAGTCTTTAGGCTTTTAGAAGAAAAACACTCTCATATGATAGTCAGGAAAACACCTCTGGCTGTAAAAGTCCCGGTCCTCTGGTTTCTGTAAGGTTCCTCTGGTCTCTTGTGGTTCCTCTGGTCTCTCTCAGCTTTTTCTATTCTCTTTCAGGTTCCTCTGGGCTTTCTCAGGTTCTTCTGGTCTCTCAGTTTTCTCTAATCTCTCTCTGGTTCCTCTAGTTTCTCTCAGGTTCCCTTTGTGTATCTCAGGTTCTTTTAGTCTCAAGTTTTTCACTCTATCTCAGGTTAATCTAGTCT